GGACGACTGCGCTCTGCCCCACCTTGCCGAGCTGTCCGGAGCAGATCCGTGGGCATCGGAACTCGGGAGCCCCGGAGGCTGGCCAGCCCTCACTGCAGTCTGGAGCTCTAGCCTGCCTGCCATGCCCTACACACCCACCACGGCTTTGGAGATCTCCGCTCTGCCCCGGCCGCAAGAGGGTGCGGAAAAGGCCTGGGGAAACGGCTCAGCGCTTGAAGTGTTTGCAAACCCAGGACCTGAGCATGGATCCTCAGAACCCATGCTGAAAGCTAGCAGAGTGGCTCAGTCCTGCTACAGCAGCACAGGGGAGGCTGAGACAGGAGGATTCCTGTAGTGTACAGATCGGGTGGTCTAAATAAATATGCTCCACCACACTGATACGGTCACAAAAATCAAGGTGAGAAAGGGGTGTTGCTCAATGGTTAGCGCACCAGCTGCTCTCACAGAGGACCTAGGTTCAGTTCCCAGCACCTACATGGTGGCTCACAACCATCTGTGACTCCAGTTCCGGGGGACTTGACGCCCCCTTCAGGCCTCTGCAGGCACTGCATACGTGAGTGTGCACTCCAGAATACGTGAGCCGGCAAACCTGGAGCCCAATATTTTGCTGTTCTTTGTGTGAGACACATCTCACCGTGCAGCCCTGACCAGCGGGCTCTATGGAGACCAGAGATGATGCCGTTTCCTGGTCTCCTTGGGAACGAGGGACACAATGGTGCACGGGCATACATGCTGCCAAACAGCCATCCACCAGAAAAAAACGAACAGAGAATAGTCCCAGTCTTTCCTGTTTGTTTATTTGAGACAGACAGCGCTGACTTTGTAACTCTGGCTGGCCTGGGACTCAAGGACAGCCACAAGCCTCTGCCTCTGGAGTGCTGGGATTAGCCATGGCCATCATGCCCGGCTTAAAAACTATTTTATTACGATGGGCAGTGGTGGCGCCTGCCTTTAATCCCAGCACTCAGGAGGCAGAGGCAGGCGGATCTCTGAGTTCGAGACCAGCCTGGGCTACAGAGTGTGAGTTTCAGGACAGCCTGGGACACAGAGAAACCATGTCTAAACAAACAAGCAAAAAATAGAAACAAACAAAAAAACCCAACCCCTATTTTATTACATGGGGACCAGGACAACCTGCAGGAGTCAGGTGTGTCTCCGTTGGGGTCCACAGTCACACTCAAGTCTGTCACGCTTGGTGGCAAGCCCCTCCGCCACTGAGTCCCGCACGAGCCTTGTCCCTGACTTCTCTTTCTTCTGTGGGGACACTGCCTGATGATACTGACATGCTCATGTCATTTCTCTCGGCAGAGTGGGGGGGCGACTTACAGGTGTGACCCCTCCCCGGAGGAGTCAGTTTGTCATCGGAGACTCCAAATCGGGAGCTCCTAGCTCAGAGCAGGTGGAGTCCAGAGATACCCAGGAGGCCAGGGGTACCCCACAGAGAAAGCCCAGCCCCGCGGGGGAACTCAGGCCGAGGGGCTCCCTTGGGCCGGTGGGATGCAGGGCGAGGACCGTCCCGGGCCTCGGCAGCGGCGTCAGAGGCGGGCTGCCAGGAGCTGGCTGTGCCCAACCCCGCCTGCCGCACTAATAACTTGTGTTACAGGCACACAAACAAGCTCCGAGGGAGGCGGACATGCTGTTATTAGAGATGAGCGGGAGCGGGGCCACCGGCCCCACCCTCTCTCCTCCCATCCCGCTGGGTCCCGGCTGGGTGTCCCCACAGGAGGTGGTGTGTGGAGGTGGCCTGGGCCCTGCAGCACTCCACTCCGAGCCCATTCATGACAGTGGCACATGCACTCAGCATGGCCCAGGGTCTCCTGGGGCTAGGGACTGGCACCTAAACTGGAATCTGTGAGAAACACACAGGGCACATTCTGGCTTCTCCCTCGTGGTTACCGTGGCCAGCGGGTGGCCGCGGGTAGCGCCATCTCTGCTCTCATTCCTGAGGGGTCAGAGCAGCGGCCCCAGCCCGCAGGGGTCCTGGAGATGCCCAGCCTGTGATGCCTGCAGAATGCCCATCCTGCTTCTTTGCGCCCCAATCTGAGATGCCACTGTTTTTCTTTCTTTCTTTCTTTCTTTTTTTTTTTCGAGACAGGGTTTCTCTGTGTAGCTTTGCACCTTTCCTGGAACTCACTCTGTAGCCCAGGCTGGCCTCGAACTCACAGAGATCCCCCTGCCTCTGCCTCCCGAGTGCTGGGATTAAAGGCGTGTGCCACCACCGCCCGGTGCCACTGTTTTCTTGCCACAGGAGGGAGAAGCCCGACAGCAGCCCCTGGGTGTGAGCTGCCCTGGTCCCAGCCCACTGCAGGGGAGCCTGAAGGCCGCCAGTGGCCGGGCCAGGCGAGGGCCTCGGCCCAATTCTTTGGCCACACCTGGCCAGGGCCCAGTTTTGCGGGATGGTCGGGTGGTTTGGGAAGAGGGAGCCAGGCAGGTGAGGACTGGCGGCAGGGGTCTCCTGGGTCCAGGGTCCCTAAGTCACTGTGCTGAGGCCCACCCCCAGGACAGTGCTACCTGGACCCGAGGACCTGGGGGAGGCAGTTGCTCCCATAGTCGGAGGGCTGGTGAGGAGGGGACCGGGCCACGGTGACAGGCACACAGGCTTGCTGGTGTCCCCAGGGGCAGAGCAGCTGGTGGTGGGAGAGGGCGCCACTTCATACAGCCATGGGGGAGCTGCAGACTCCCTGCTGGGGTGGCCAGACATGGACCAGGCCCTTCCTATCTTGCCCTAGTCTTTCGTCACCTGAGTCCATACCCGCAGGGGCTCCACGGGGCCCACCTGGGCTCGAGGGAAGCCATACAGCACTTAGCTGTGCCCTGGGTGGTGAGTGGGGGGTGGGGAGGAGTGGGAGGCCGGGTGGTACTGTGGGCACATCCCCACATCTGCAGGGGCAGGGTCAAACTTCATGGGCTCAGCCGTCAGTGCTCAGGAAAGAACCCCTAGAAAAGGCGAGGCTTCGACCAGTCACAGAGCAGGTCGGCCCTCACTGGAGGTGCTGGGACCCACGCGTCCCCATGTCTGGAAGTACTATGTGAGCCCTGGCTTACTACAGCAGAGGTGGCCAGGCATTGGGGCTCCGGGGACGCTGCCCAAGGCCCGGGTGTCCCCAAGGCCCGGGCTCTTTGTACCTTGTACCTTCTGAGTAGGAGCCAGGTAGGGGCCACCTTGGATGGGCCGTTCAGGTCACCTGGCCACAGTGACGGGCACTAGGTCTGACATCCGGCCACCACAGGGACTGTGTTGAGGTGACGCCTGGTAGACGGAGCCAAGGTCAAGGACGGGGATGAGCCCTGCCAGCCTTATGTTCCCAGAGGGAGAGTCCTCGCTCAGGGTGTCCCAAGATGCCGGTGTTGTCATGGCAACAGGCTCCATGGTTGCTAGGAGCTGATCTCCCGCCTGCATTCTAGGAGTCTCCCCTGTCAGGATGCGGCCCTCACCTGTGTCCCCTGGAGACCCCAGTGGTGAGGATACAACTCAAAAAATGACCACCAAGCCACGTCCCACGTCCCACTCACCCTCAGGAGACCACGGCCCCCAACACTGGTGACTGAGACAGAGCAAGGAGACAGGAGGGGGTTCCCGAGGGCCAGGCAAGCGGACTCCGGGCTGGCCCACAACCGGCCTGTCCCCTGGGAAGGACAGCCTCTTGCTCACCAAGTGTCACACGTCACGCTGGAGCAACGGGAGAACCCGGGGGACAATGGTGGGCGGGGCCTTGGCTACACGGAGAACATGGAGGGAAGGGGGGGGCTTGCGGCTCCCCCAACCCCCCCCCACGCTCCCACTCACAGGGCCAGGAGGGGTGACGGGTGACGAGGTGACATGGCCACACAGCTTTGATAAAGAACTTTAAGACTTGTTTTTTTTTTAAAGCAGTATCAGTGGCGCCAGGCGCGGCCGGAGGGCGGGGGGCCCTGTGCGTGGACCGCGGCCCGGAGCGTGGCCTGTGTCCTGCAGGGGCTCACGGCTCGGGCGGGCAGCGGGGTGAGGACGGCGGGCCTGCGGCCCTCACCACTTGAGGAAGACCATGCCGGCCAGGACGGCGTAGCCCAGCACCAGGAACAGCACCTTGAGCAGCGGCTCGCTCCTCTCCTCCAGCTCCTTGGCCAGGATCTCCAGGAAGGTGACGAACAGGAAGGTGCCGCCCGCCAGGCCCTGCAGCAGCGCCGAGGCCACGCTGCTGGCCACGCTGCGGGCGCTCTCGATGCCCAGGCCCAGCCCGATGCCCACGGGGATCATGGCGCTCACGGTCACCGCCAGCTTGGCCGCGTCCTTCAGGGGCACCGCACTGCGGGCCATGCTGATGCCCAGGGCCACGGCCACCAGCGTCTCGTGGACGGCCACGCCCACGAACAGGCTGACCACGCGCTCGCCCTCCTCCTGCAGCCCCAGCGCCAGGCCCTCGAACACCGAGTGCGCCGACAGCGCGAAGACCAGGCTGAGCAGCCGCAGCGGGCCCGGGCGCCCCAGCTCGCGCAGCCGCAGCCCCGCGCCGTGCGTGTGCGCCGTGGGCTCGGGGTACAGAGCGCGGCCGCGGCCGCCCGCGCCCACGAACGGGCTCTCGTACTCCGAGTCGCTGCCCGCGTCCGAGCCCGCGTTGAAGGTCTCCAGGTCGATGAAGGGCGGCCGCTCCCGGCGGAAGGTCAGCACCAGCTGCTCCACGAACACGGTGAGGAAGAAGCCCACCATCATGAGCGTCTCGGCCAGCGGGTAGTCCGTGCTGATGTGGCCCAGGCTCAGCACCTGCTGCAGCTGCGGGGACAGGGCCGGGCTCGCTCAGCAGGCTGAGGCAGGAGGATCGCAACCTCAAGGGCGGCCTGGGCTACACGGAGACCCAGGCTCAAGCAGTCATGCGTGGCCACAGGGCCGGCGTGGTGGCGGATAACACAGGCACAGCCCAGGTCACAGCAAGGAGAAAACCGAGCGGGCCCGAGCGCGGCTGAGAGGCTCAACTGGGCCTCGCCTGGGTCCATCCCCAGAACTGCCAAAACTTTTTTTTTTTAGAAAAGAAAAAAGTGGGGGTGGGGCGGTGAGATGGCCCCACATCCTGAGTTCAAATCCGTGGGACCCCCACGGTGGGAGGAGGAATTGGACTCCAAGCCTCTGACATCCACATGCACTGGCACACACAACAAATACTTATGGAACAAAAACGTCATGCAAGGCTGGCCTCTGGCCTCACCTGGGGGTGCTGCCGCCTAGGGGACGGGGTGCCCCCAAGGATGGATCCCGCCATGACAGGCAGCATCTCTGAAGTGTGCCTGTTTCAGAGGATGCCTAGAGCCCAGGCTACCCCGTGAGCGTCAGGATAGGGATTAGCAAGGCCACCGCACAAGTTCAGGCCTGGGGAATGGGAAGCTGGGCGAGGGCTGGGCGTGGCCACGGGAGGACACTGAGCACCACAGATAAAGGAAACCACACAGGACAGGACAGGATGGGACGCAGGCCCCGCCAGCATCGGGCTGAGCTGGAGCTGCAGGCGAGGCCCCGTCTCCACGGGCACACGCTTCGCTGACGAAGACAGTGGCCACCGAGCTTGCGGCTCAGAAGGGGAAGCTGGCCCGGGCCTCACCGAAGGCCCCGAGTGGGAATCCCAGATCCCGCCTGGAGGAGGACACCCCAGCCCCAGGTCTTCCTGAGCTCACCGCAGCCTTGACAGAGGCTTCCCGGGCTCCAGGACTGAGGTCCCGTGGCTAACCGTCACGGCGGCTGCAGGGAGCCCAGGCCCACCCCGGCCCTTCTGTCGTGACGTCCTCCCCACGAGCCACGCCGGGAGCCCTCACTAACTGTGGTCACTGACGCAGCTGGCCCCTGAAGACGGTTCTAGTCTCCCCTCATGCTCGTGACCCAGACGGCCAGGGGCTGTTCTGATGTCTGTCTGCTGGGTCCCTGAAGTAGAGGACCCCAGAAAGCTCTGCCCAGGCGCTTGCCTGGCCCACAGGAAGCACGAGGAGATGCAGCAGGAAGTGACAGATACAGGCAAGAGGAACGACTGAACACGGCCTGTGTGCTCTGGAGGGGTGACCAGTGTGCCTGACATCCACCGGCCCCGGGCTCGCCTGTCTCCCCTGGGTTCTGGTGAATCCGGTACAGAGAGGGGAAGACGCTGACCTAAGGTCACACAGCAGTTAGCTTTCTCCTTCCCATTGCCCCCTCACAACCACTGAAATCCACCACAGCCGGAGAGACACTCAGCGGGAAAGTGCTTCGCCACACAAGCGTGAAGACCTGAGTCGTGACCCTAGAACCTACCTAGAAAACGGGGTATGGCAGCACATGCCTGTAAGCCCAGGCTGGGGCAGGGAGCGGAGGCAGGGGGATGCCTGGGGTTCACTGGCCAGACTCCTCGGCCACATCAGGGAGCTGGAAGGTCAGAGACCCTGTCCCAAAACACCGGGGTGGAGAGCCACTGAGGACGGCACCCGACATCGTCCGCAGGCCGCCAGGCGCACACGCGCGTGCCCCCCGAGGCCCCTGCGCCCCCTGTGCCCGCCCGCGTGGCCTCACCTTGTCTCTCACCGCGGGCAGCAGCGCGTTGAAACACGTGGCCAGGAAGACGCCACCCCCGAAGGTGTTACAGAGGGAGAGGACCTTCTTGGAGCGGTGGGCCTTCTCGAAGTCGGCCTCGATGATCTTCACCGGCAGCAGCGAGCCCAGCAGCATGAAGAAGAACACGCCCACCATGCAGAGGACCTTGGCCACCAGGAGCTTCGTCATGGTGGCCGCCTGGCGCACACCGCTCACCGCAGGGCCAAACCACACATGGAGTCGCACACCAGAGCTTCAGGGGCTACCGGCCCCAGCCGCAGGGCCGGGGGCTCATGGCTCTGCCCGGCAGCTGTGAGGACAGGGGCAGCCACGTTAGCCACGTGGTCACTAGCCAGTCAGCCACGCTGGACTCACAGACGTGGACACATGCGTTTGTGTAACTGCTGGGAGGTGGTGCAGGCACTGACATGCTTGTGTTACAGGTGTGAAGATCCGAGACAGAAGGCTGCCTGGGACCTACTGGCAGCCAGCTTTGACACACCAGTGCACTCCAGGTTCATGAGACCCTGTCTCCAAAACCAGGGTGGAAAGTGGCTGAGGAGGACAACACACACGTGCGCGCACACACACACACACACACACACACACACACACACACACACACGCACACACACATACATGCACACGCACACACATGCACACACTCATGCAAGGAACATGGAACTGAACACTGTTTATCACCTGGCTCCCTGCAGCCAAGTGCTCGTTAACCACCTGAGCTGAGTGGCTTCCACATCATGCACAGGTACAGAAAGCTCCCATTGTGCCAGGACACTCTCTGGGGTGGTGCGGCCCTGGCAGGGACTCTCAACCCGTTACCCCAAGGTTAGGCCTTAGGTAACTGCGTCTACCTCGGCTCACCTCACACCAGCTTGCTTGAGTCGTGAATGCCAGGCCTGTGCCAGCCCCAGGGCCTTTGCACGGACTGTTCCCCCGCTCCAGGACCCCCAAACACGTGCCTTTATATTCTGGATGTTGGAACGGCCTCCTCTAGACTCCCAACTGCTCCCTGGTACCCACCTTGAGGCCTGGTGCAGAGCGGGTGCGAGGTGACAGCTGGCTGAGTGGACGCAGTGGCCAAAGTGTAGGGCTGTTCTGACGGGACTCTGTCGATTTCTCCCTGCCTCATGAAAGATCAGCACTGTTAGGAGGGACACTGCTTCCTTCTCACTGACCACCCAACCCCCAGCTTGCCTGTCAGGGCCTTCCCAGGTCCCCCCTCTGCAGTCAGGGCCTTCCCAGGT